TGTGATCAGCTTTTTGCAATAAGGCATCTGCTGTGCACCAGAGATGGAACTCCTGGGAGTCTTATATAGAGAGGCTCTGCCCCCCAGTCCAATGCCTTACCATTTTTTATATGGTCAGCTTTTGAGAGAAAAGTCCTCCCTTTCGTATAACCTTTTAATGAACCTGCAAATTCAGCATGAAAATAATTTTCTACCTACCATTAAACACTGACAGGCCAAAGTTCGTCGCTTTCTTGGTGTTTGTTTGTATAACTTCTTCGTTAATCACTCAAATTTCGTCTATCAAAAATGTCTCAAAACGAGACGCCATCTTGGCTCCGGTCACAAAACAGTGAATAGCCAAGGATATTCTGGGTTATGAGAGCCAATCAAAATGTGCACTGATTTGTGCACTATTCACTGATTTGGTAAATACTAAAACAAAATTTGGGAGGATTTATAGGTTAAATGACCTGCTACTTTCCTTGAGAGACCATCTACTTAAACCCCAATGACAGCCCTTTGTTATCCTACATGTGTAGACTGGAAAGGTTTCAATATGAGATGGGAGTTTTTTCTTTTATCAGCTGAGTAGAGTTACACCTACCAGTATTGTACCATTATATATTTTAGATTTAAGCGATAGAAAACGTTTTCTGTGTTTGCATAGCCTCATATAAACACGAGAGGGTGTTGGGAAAGAAATTGAGAATTTTCCCAACCCTTCGAGTGTTTATATCAGGCTAATGCTATGCATACACAATAAAAAAGTTTTCTATTGCTTTTATGAAATACCTTTCCAGAGAAAAGAAAGCAAAACTCTGTTAAAAGAGAAATTCTTACCAACCAGGTTGAAGTGTTGTACATGCAGTTTTGTTCACATAATCCGTTCTTGCTTTGCAAAAAAGGTGCTTTCCAAAATACAGATTTTTGTGGCTTAAAATGTTAACATAAGCCAAAAAATTGACACAGCATTTTTGTAAAGATTTTCCAAGTCTCAACCAACAGAAAAAAATTGGTATAAAAGTAAACTTTTAGAGTTTTCAGCTCAATATCTTTTTAAAATTTTTGTTTACATGATTAGCTAGCACATACGACTAAACATCTTGATGTCAACTGTGATTACATACTCTTATGCAAACACTCCTCTTGGCCAATCAGAGTGTAGCACTCTCTTAGTTATTTTGTAAATAAAGATAACTACTCCATTGATATATCTGTTCATATGTAGGTCAGAGAGCAGGAGAAAGCTTTTTCTCGAAAGTTGCTGGAAGATGTGAGGAAAAGAAAAACTGTTGAAACAAAACACCTTGCTTCCCACCTCAAGGTATTTTTTTTATCCATATTTGTGTTTGTAGCAAATATTTATTATTATATTGCATTATTGACCTAGTGTGAGACCAAGATGGCAGGATATTGGCCAACTACTTTTTTTTTTGTAAGAAAGAATGAGGCCAATATACAGCCATCTTAACTGAGCATGCTTATGGTCAATAAGGGATTTGTTATATGGCCAAAAAGAGAACTTTTAAGTACAGGACTAACACAGGAAATTCTGACTGGGCAAGATGAGCCCATCTTAAAATATTTACTTAATTATTGTTTGGAATGTTGTGTAAAGCACCTAGAGCAGGACCAGATAGGTGCTATCAAATTTTAATTATTATAATTATTTATTATTTATTGCAGATTGCTTGTTATCATTATCTCTCTATTTGATTTCTGCAGAGCCAATGGGAGAATGAGCAAAATTTGAAACGGTCACTGCTTGAAAGAAAATATCAAGAAAACCTTGCTGAAATTGGATTAGCCCATCAAACAGCTTCTGAGGTAAACATTTATCATAAAAAGTCATTGCAGCCTTTATTGCTTCTGCACCCGGTTGATCCAGTTTAATCCAGGCTTTGTTAATGGCCACCTTTAAATAATTATTGCCCTCCAGGTGTTAGTTTTGTTTTCTAGATCTGTTTTTAAGGACTGTCTAAGTTATCTAGATAATACTTTTGAAATCTGAGAACTATAGAAGCTAAGGTAGGTAGAGGTGCACACAAGCCAAAGGCCCACACAGCTGGAGCTTATTTCCGGTTTCCGTAGCATGAAGCATGCCTAGGAGTATTGCTACTTCCCCCTGAACGGGATGCTAGTCCATTGCAGGGTTACCCCCAGCAGTATGTCACCGATACCCATTTATACACTTAGGTGAAGAGAGACAAAGTGGAGTAGGGTTCCTTGTCTAAGGGAACAACATGACAGGCAAGGCTTGAACCCTGGACCTCCAGATCCAGAGTTCAAGGTGTCGACCACTCGACCACACACGCTTCCGAGAACTATAGAGACAAGGCTTAAAACAATCACAGTGTATGAAAACAAATTTTACCCTCATGGAACATAACACATTTTCGTTTGGTTTAAACTCAAATTGCTGGTTATTAGCTACTGTACCTGCCTGGGTAAGATATGTCTTTTTCTGAAAGGAAAGTTATACAAATTGTTTTTGTTGTGAAATTTGCCTTTCCTGTGTGTATAATAATAATACAATAATATATTTTTTACAGGACCAAACTAGTTATACCAAACCAGAGTTAAGTGAAGAAGAGAAACATAGGTAAACTTAGAGGAATGAAAACTTTGTTTTATAACTTTAACCCTAAACTAATCGAATTTTAAATTTTGTTTGTATTTAAGTGCAGCTAAAGATGGTGCCTGCAATTGCTAGCATTATCTTTCATCTGAGATTTTTACTGGCATGCTCCAACAGCTTAGTAACCAGTCTGTAGATAGGGACTTTTGGGAATTTACATTTTCTCTTTTTCAGTTTTGAGGTCAAATATTTTGTTTGCAGTGCTTTACATTGTTCTTGTTCATGAATTCTGCTCCCCACCCAGCCCTCCCTTTATGAAGTGTAATTCTATGTTACAGGTCAAAATTTTCAGATTAAGACTTTTGGCTGGATTGTAGAATACCCAGCCCATTAAAAAAAATATTTTATTTTTCTTAAAACCTAGGTTGATTTTCAATTTCCTTTGTCTCTTGTAGCCCTAGTTATTCATGAATTAGGGCTAGCAGACAAAGGAAATTGGGAATCAACCTGGTTAAAAAATTTTAACCTGAATTTAATTTTTATGTGTAACATATGGTAGGTATGCTGGATCCTTATACCTTTCTGGTAAACTGCCCACCTACCCCTCCCCTAAGCCAACATCAACACTTACTTCTCACTTAGGGCAAAATGTGGGCTTAGGGGAGTGGTAGGAAGGCAGTTTCCCAGAAACATATAATGATCTGGTATGCGGATCATTATCCCTTTCTTGGGAAACTGCCCACCTACCCCTCCCCAAAGCCAACATCAACACTTACTTCTCACTTAGGGCAAAATGTGGGCTTAGGGGAGGGGTGGGAAGGATGCTTAGGTTCCATTGGCTGCTAGCCACGTGACAGTGGATTGCCACTTAAGTAAACATTATTTGCACGATTATGCTCTGCAATTCTTTGCACTTCTTGGTTCCACCAGTATCTCTGGCACCTTCTCCCATGCTTATATCTTTGTTGACAAGTTTACCTAGCGTCTAAAATAGACCATCTGTTGGCAATCTTTTTCAGAGCATCAGAAAGATACAAGAAAGCACTGGAACAGGTACTGATTAGTGTGTCCGTAATAGGGGGAGATTATTTCAGTCAAACACGACCTTATCCTTTTTTGTCGGAAATTTAGCTGCTCCCGTTATTCAATCTTAGGATGTAGGCAG